TTGCACCGGCCGTGGTCACAGGCTGACTCACCTGTGACCACGGCCGGTGCAACCTGGTCTGGCAATAAGAGATAGCGTTAATTCCCGTTAAATAATATTAATTAAAAGTCAGACTTCTAAAATAATGAATTATCATCATTAGTCCAGTACTGCACACAGACATCTCCTTAGAAAGAAGGTTTTGGCTCCCGCTAGCCAGACGGGTTTGTGTCAAGTTTTCCTTCTCTTTGCAGTGCTGTTGTCCTGCGTAGTTTGCTCCTTTAGTCGGCTCTTACGACACCCACGGTATGAATAGGGGTGGTCACACTCCGTATTGTTAATCCGTAACCACACGTACGCACACAAAAAAAAACCCCTTAGAGGTCTTTTTTATTTTATCTAGTCCGGGAATCGAACCCACTAAGGCAGCGCTTTTCAAATTCCACGAAATCGAAGTGCCAGCTAGTATATAATAAGATTTTATTCTCTTCTAAACCCAATGCAATATTAACAAATACGCAATGTACAGGAACAACGCTAAGTAATACGTCATACTAATATAATTCATCTCAGCATCTTGTACAGTCGTATCAAGAGAAAGGTAGGTAGGTAGATGCATCTACCTAAAGCTAACCATGCGTTTTGTAACGAAACTCTTGATTGTATAATCATCTGAGGTTTTATTAACTTTTGTAATACAATATTGACGACCTTTTCTTTGTACTAAAACTGTTTTTAATGAAACAACTTTCTTTAAATACGATCTTGAAAGTAAGTGTCATCATTTCGTTGTGAAGATACGTTTAGCTAAGTACCTATAATAATAATAATAATAACCTCACACATCTCACACCCAGCCGTCTGATCCGAAACTAGGCAGAGCCTGTGCTATGGTAACCAGACTGCTCATGAATATACTTATATATTTCTAAATACATACATATTATAGATAAATTTCACCCAGACACAGAACAAACGATTGTGCTCATCGCACTAATATTTGTCCTGAGTGTGAATCAAACCCACGACCTCCGGTTTAGCAGTCATGGTCACTAACCACTAGACCAACGTATTACGACTGAAGAAAATTTCTGTTGTATTGAGGGACAAATGAGGCAGTGGATGGTAAATGAGTACCGCCGTCCATAAACACCTGCAACTCAAGCCCGGTAACCTTACTCTCTTGCTGAAAGCAACGAAAGAGATGCTTAGCAGCGATTTTCTGGGATGCCGTGTATCGATCAGGAGTATACTAAAACACTCAAATTAGAATGACTACGCTATTAAAAAACGTGTAATTAAACGATGAAGGAAGATAGTGAATATATTAATTAAATGCATGAATTAGGCGTAACAAGGCGCAAAACCGGTACAAAGTAATTAAGGAACAAAAATCCAGTACTCATCGTTTGTATTGTTACATGGTATGGTTCGTTATTTGAAGAAGAATTCTTCGTCTTTCAAGAGGTATTGTTTACCAACACTTTAAATATGGCTAATCAGTATTTAATCTTAGTCCGAAATGTTTACTCTTCTGATGAATTATATTAATGTGTTCGACATTATAATTTTCTTTCCTAGAGGTGGTATTTGCTTTAAATTTGTAGAAGGCCAAACTTGAAATATGTCTATACCCCAAAAAAAAAAGAAATCCGTTCATAAATTACTGAGTTTTGAATCATAAAAATCATATCATAAATCATAAGAATCATAAAAAAATACAACGGATTTATTTAAAATGAGTTTTCATTTAAAGTTTGTAAACATTCATATTAGAAAATAAAGGAAAGATTAGTAGAAATTTGGTTTAGAAACTATCCCAGTAAAAAAACTCAAATGTAGATTTATATAATATTTGACGGGCCTGTTGGTCTAGTGGTTAGTGACCCTGACTGCTAAACCGGAGGTCGTGGGTTCGATTCCCACCCAGGACGAATATTGTGTGATGAGCACGGTCATTTGTTCTGTGTCTGGGTGTAATTTATCTATAATATGTATGTATTTAGAAATATATAAGTATGTTTATCAGCGGTCTGGTTACCATAGTACAGGCTCTGCCTAGTTTGGGATCAGACGGCCGTGTGTGAGTGTGTGAGATATATTATTATTCTCTTTATTTACTTTATATACATATTATTTACATTTTTAAATATACACTTTATAAAAAAATACATTTAAAAATATAAAAAATAGTAGACCACCGACATCGGGTACAGGGACCAAGACACCGGTGGTTAGGACTCCAAAGATAGGAACCTCCTCACTATACGAGCCGTGTCAAGGAGGACTGCCTTCTGCATCAGACCCTTGATCCAGCCATCCAACGTGAGCCTCTTAAGGTGTTGGTCGAGGCTCTTGGCTATCAATCCATGAGCAGATACGACTATCGGAACAATGATCACTGAATCAACATTCCACATATCGACAATCTCGTGAGATAAATCCAAATATTTAATTTGTTTTTCTTTTTCAACTTTCACGAGATTCTCGTCATGAGGAACGGCGATATCAACAATCATTGCGCGGCGCTCTAATCGATCTATCAACACAATATCAGGCTTATTGGCAACAATAGTCCTGTCTGTGATAATAGATCGATCCCAATACAACGTGGCCCGACCATTCTCGAGAACTGGGTCGGGCACATACCTATAGTATGGCACCTCTAGATTCACAAGATGGTATTTAAGGGCAAGCTGTTGGTGTACGATCCTGGCTACTTGGTTGTGCCTGTGCAAATATTCTCCGTTAGCAAGACGAGAACAACCAGAAATAATATGCCTGATTGATTCGCCAGGACGGTGGCATGCCCGACAGATGTCAACCGTACCATCTTTCAGGATATATTTCCGATAGTTATTCGTCATGATAACTTCGTCCATAATCGCACAAACAAAACCTTCAGTTTCTCCAAAGAGATCACCATGCCGTAGCCAAGTCGTAGATGCTTTTAAATCTATATCGGACCCGTTTAGGGCCCGATAAAACCGACCATGGAGCTCTTTGCCCTTCCATACTTCCCTGCGATCATTAACACCAAGTACTACAGGTCTGCGCCAATTCTCTTTAGCCAGAGCGAGAGGGGTGAAGCCGGTATCCACTGCAACTACATTGCGATGCACTCCCACGTCGGTATGTAGAAAATATTCTCTGAGATTGCATACCTCGCGATTATGTAGGGTCTTGATATTTAATAGACCGCGACCCCCAAGCTTTCGCGGGATATACAATCTCATAACTGATGAACGTGGGTGGTGCATTCGGGATGCAGTCAGCAGTGTGCGGACTTTCCTGTCAAGGGCATCTAATTCGGTCTGAGTCCATCTAAGTATACCAAAGGAATACATTAGAACCGGCATGACCCAACCATTGCAGGCTCGCACCTTGTTGCCCCCTGATAAAAGACTTTTAAGTACTTTTTTCAAGCGGCCAAAAAAGCGTTCCTGCAATGTTTGTTTCATGTTAGATTCTGGTAATCCCAACGACTGTGATATACCCAGATACTTGTAAGTTTCAGTGGCAGACAGAGATCTGAGTTTTGTTGAATCCAAAAGCTCTATTCCTTCAGATTCAACTATCACACCCTTCTTTACATACATGACTGCACACTTGTCTACACCAAATTCCATTTTGATAGAATTACTAAAGTTTTCCGTCACCTTTAGTAACTTTGTCAATTGTAATTTGTTGGAGGCTAACAGTTTCAAATCATCCATATAAAGAAGGTGAGATATAACTTGATCATCTTTCTGCAACCTATAGCCTAACCCTGAACCCTCTAATAAAGTGCTAAGAGGGTTCAAAGCCAGACAAAACCACAAGGGACTCAGACTATCACCTTGAAATATACCCCGCTCGATCTTTATTAGTACATCGTGTATCGCTGTCTGCCGACATCCTGGATAGCGAAGTGCCGTTCTCCATTGCCCCATACATGACTTCAAGAAAGTGCACAGAGTTGTATCAATTTTATAGAACTCCAGCACCTTCAAAAGCCATGTGTGTGGAACCGAGTCATAAGCCTTCTTATAATCTATCCAACACGTCGCCAAACTCTTACGATTACAACGTACCTGTTGGCTAATGGTCATGTCTATGATAAGGAGGTCTTTAGTGCCACGGGTCCCACTTCTACATCCATTCTGAGAAACTGACATAATCGAATTATTATTAATATGTAAAGTAATTTTGAGTCTCAGAATAGATGTTAGAAGTTTATACATGGTAGGTAAACATGTAATAGGTCGAAAATTTTTGGGATCCATGACACTACCAGACTTATAGAGTAAGTGGGTTATGCCAGTTGTTTAAAATTGTTATTATTATTATTATTATATAGACGTAGGTTCTTGTTAATAACAAAGAAATAATGTTAAGACTAAAAAGCGGCTAAGTGCGAGTCGGACTCGCCCATGAAGGGTTCCGTAGCAGCAAATAACATAATATAAAAGTTCTTGTAGTTCGTTGTAACTTTGATCTATGTTTTATTATAGTGTATTTTTTTAAATTAAGTTACTGATTTATGACGTATTAAAAAAAAACTTCTTACTAGATGTCGTTTAAACCAATTTTCGGTGGAAGTTTGCATGGTAATGTACATCATATATATTTTTAGTTTTATCATTCTCTTATTTTAGAAGTAGTAGTTTAGTACAGGGGGGAGGGCACATTTTACCACTTTGGAACTATTTAGTTTAGAATAAAATGATATGTGAAACCTAAATATTATTTTGAATACTATCTAGAGATACTCCACAAGTGTGGGTTTGATGAAAAAGAAAATTCTGCGTTTCAGTTCTAAGTATAACCCCCAAAATTATTGTTTTTACTATTTTTGTGTGAAAATCTTAATGCTGTTCACAGAATACATCTACTTACCAGGTTTCAACAGTATACTTCTTATAGTTTCGGAAAAAAGTGGCGCTGACATACGAACGGACAGACAGACATGACGAATCCATAAGGGTTCCGTTTTTTGCCATTTGACTACGGAACCCTAAAAACGTAGCTACTACTAATACCTAATAATAACTAACCTGATTTAGAGTATCCATGGCTAGCCTCTCGATGTCCACATTGTAGAAGCTGAGCTGCGGCACGTGCCGTCTCCTCGGGCGAATGTCATCATAATACGCGACGACATCATTGATCGACACCACGGGGCAGTCGTCCGCAGTACTACACCCGCTGCTAATCCCGTCGACCCCGCTATCGGAATCCCCTTCGCCGCCAAATCCTTCTTTGGAATCCCTACGATCTCCATAACTCTGTTCCGACCCCTCCTGGTACCCGGATTCCATCATTTCGTCGGGTGCGATAATGTCCGGGATCTTTGTCGTGTCGTATTCGTATCCGACTTCATCGTCCACCGGGTCGAGATCAATTATGTCGGTCATGTTATTGTTTTGGTGATGCGCGAAAATATATATTATTTTTGTATTACACTATCCACTACATGCTGGTTCTGTGACTCGTTCACTGGTAGCGCCCTGTGGACAAGAGAATATGTTATTAGTTTCCGTACTTGAAATAATAATATTTTTAATATAACACGGACATCTTACACACAACGCCATCTAGTTTCAAACTAATCAGGGCATGTATTATGAAAGCTAGATTTGCTGATAGAATACTTTTATACTTTTTTTTTTGTAAATACATACATATTATACATAGAAAACACCCAAACTCTGAAACAAATATTTGCAGATCACACAAATATTTGGTCCGACAAGGGAATCGAACCCGAGACCTCAGCACAGCAGTCGCATACGCTACCACTGCATCACCGAGGCAGTCAATCAAAATAATAACCTTAACTATTTGCACATATTTTCTTTTGGTAATACACATCGTGGGCACAAAAAGGGAAAGCGACAGTATCTGTGGTAGAACTGCACGCATTCCAAACGAAAGAAGATAAGTCAAACGTAGAAAACAAGAAATTCCCAGAATTGGTGAAACTGTAAATTCCTAAATTTCATAAGTTACAGCATGCTTGTCGGTAAAGGACGCGTAAACGATGTTTCTAACACTGCAAAAAGCCTCGACAGATCGCTTAAAGTTGCAAAAGTTTTTGGGTAATTTAGAAACCACTCCACAAAAACAGGTAACCCTAAGACTTCTGGTTGTTTATAAGGTACTAGCTGGTCTCATTTTTGCTCGATTTAAAAAAAAACACACGTTTGATTTGGGGAGTAAGCTGGTGAATGCGTGACGAGACCATTACGAAAAGTGTGATCGGACGAGGCGAACGGAGATAGAGAGGGATATATACTCGTAAGTTAGTGAAGATTGAAAGAAAGAGAGTTACGTTTCATATATTACTGTAGGGGCAAAAGAGAGAGAGTGCGAGCACACATTTTTCTATCTCTCTTTCTCTCATAGCCAAGTAGTTTAACTTCAGTCGTGTGGTCTAAAGCAAATCGTTTTTTGTATGTTTGTTACTCAATACTCAGTCATTTATGAACTGATTGGGAGTTTATTTTAATTTTAAGAGGGTATACATCGGCATACTGTAAGAAATACAGTTCATTATAATACATCATGATGTCTTCTTTGAAGTCGGTGATACTTTCTTAAAATATTTTTTATTTATACCTCTCTACACATCAGTATGTCCTTGTCATGCGACATCCAATAAGACAACAAATATCTAAACGTAATAGAAGGGAAATACACCAGACATCAATCACAGTAACGATAAGCGTTCGAACAAGTTGCAACAGCGTCTGGGACTCTTAGTAGTATGCAAATAAGAGAAGTGGACCAAGTTAAGAAACTCTAGTTAAGTTAAGAATGTATGGTAGAGTTACTATGGAACGCATCCTAGCAAGACTTCCAGTTTATTTTTATTGTCTTAGAAAAAATATATCTTAATATATATATAACTAACTGACCCGGCAAACGTTGCTTGGCCTAAAAAAAAAATATTTAGGGATGGGTCACCTTTACCATTTAGGGGTATGAAAAATAGATGTTGGCCGATTCTCAGACCTACCCGACGTGCACACAAAATTTCATGAGAATCGGTCAAGCCGTTTCGGAGGAGTACGGAAACGAACATTTTGACACGAGAATTTTATATTTTAGATTTATCTGTACATGTGTTTGTAACTAACTCATCCTAAACGGCTGGACCGATTGAAATTTCATACAAATCGGTTCAGCGTAGGAGTTAGTCCTCCTAAACGGCTTGACCGATTTGGATGAAATTTTGTGCGTATATTTAAATGGGTTCCTGGGTGGCGCTGCTGTCGGTATGTCACCAAATTTGTCTCCTAATTTATTAATTTTAGTACGTAATTTGTCGGGTCAACTAGTATACATATAAAATTCCTTGCCCTAACTGTCTGACTGATTCATTAACGCATAGCCTAAACATGAACCCACTTTCTACAAAGCTGAGATGTTGTAGGCTAAGAATTTTTTTTTGGAAATTTCATCCCTAAAATAAGGAATGAATGTTCAAATTACGCAAGCGAAGCCGCTGGCAGAAGCTTGTTTGAGATATAATTATTAAGTTTATCGTAAAAATGCAGGAAATGAATGAACGTTGGGTAGTTAAATTATATTTGCGAATCATTTGTCAACTTGAGATTCATTTTCGACCAGTAAGCGTTCCACTAACATAATATGGGAGCAAATACGGACATCTCAATTCGAGGAGTTATTTACCATCAATTAAAATTTGTTTACGTGGAGCACACATCGTGAATATGTGTAAAGGGCAGCGTTTTGACTGCACGGATGGCGTAGTGGTTTAAGCGGCCGCCACCCCGCCACGTAGTGTTGTGGGTTCGATCCCCACATGGGATTGTTGTTCTGAGTCTGGGTGTCCTTTGTGTCCGTTTAATATATGTTTGTAAAGTCCCCCGCGACACAGGATTTATTCCTAGTGCGGGAGTTGTGTTCTAAAGATAATAACGAAATTGATAGTTAAATATTAGTCTATGGTTAAACATACGGCTGCTTCTCTCCACTCTAGTTTTAGCTGTGTGTTTAAACTGGACTAAGAAGGTGAGGATTTGATTCAAGAGGTCTAAATTTAGAAGAGAGTTGACATTTACTGATTAAGAGTAAATGAATGGATGATGTGGTGATGGATTAAGAATACAGTGTGTCATCCCGTGGGTGCGGTAAGAGGCGACTTAGGGAGCAAACCACGTAGGACAACAGAATTGCAAAGAAAAGGATAACTTGAAACAAACCCTATACTAACCCGTCTGGCCAGCTTAGTATAGTAGGGCAAAACCTTCTTTCTAAGGAGAGGCCATCTTCCTTCTGATCCTGGTATAGGCAGAGCTTGTGCTATGTTAACCAGATTGCTCATAAGATATATTTCTAAATACATACATATTACACATAAATTACACGCATATAACAAACGATCGTGCTCATCACACAATTAATGACAATCACCTAATATGATTTAAAAATAATGCATCACTGTGACTATTTAACTAGATCACTACGACTTATGATTACGATAGCACCAGACTCGTCTAAATAAAAAAAAAAAGTCGTAGTCTTTTGTCAAAAGAAAATTCAATATATTTGTTTTTTCTAAGCTTAAGTTTTGATGGCATTCATCTTTGTCTATTAAGTTAAAAGTTAAAATCGTAGTGACTATAACGAATCATTTCAGTATATGATTGTTATTTAAATGTAGCAATAATTTCTATCAATCCTCTCAATCGGAATTAACCTCTGTCTTAGCAGTCAGGGTCACTAACCAAAAAAGGCCCGCCAAAAGTACCTAAATGAGCAAAGAAACTTTGATAAGTGTACACTATAGCCTTAGGTGATTGATATTTGTGACCATCCACCAACGTGAGGTTATAATGAAGATGATCCTAAATTACTACCAATTCCATTTCTAATGCATTGCAATCTATCGAACTGTGCTTGTGTGATAGCTGACTTAATATTAGTTAGTGAATAGGTCAAATCATCAGCGGCCATTTTGTGTTAGGTTGTTTTTTTTTTAATGAGACTAAACAAGAGGTATACAGCTCACTCAAATCGAATAAAAAAGTTAAGTTGTTACTCTGTGAACAAAGAAGTGAGGCCAATTATAACTACGCCTTGACGTGTACATACACAATTACACGGACACATGTATAAGGAAACTACGCCTTGTCAGTCAAAACGTCATCAAAAATGTCAACAATATTTACAGTTAAAATGCCGAATTGTGTTGTGAAAGGGTGTGAAAATGAAATTACAAGAAATAGATAGTAAATTCACACATAAGTAAGCGTAGAAACCAACATTTTCAATAAAATAAAATTATGATAGCCCACGCACACATGAGTATAAAACCGGCCTTACTTCGTTCTTCGCAAAGGCCCATCTTGATTTTTTATTTGATCTGAGACCCGTCCAAACAATTTAAAAAAAAATCGAATCGATTCATAAATGTTCGAACTTCAAGGTAAGAAAAATTAAAAAATACATTCAAATTGAATTTTATTTCGAATTAGCATATGACTGTCTAGCAAATATGTAACATCGGAATTATTTTGTTGAAATTATAAGTATAAGAGGATATCTTATAAAAAGACATAATGAATATAGTACAATAAGGATTGAAACATACTATCACCTAGCGTGGCGACGTAACGCCACGCCAACAGTCGGTCTGACCCTCCGAATTAAACGTTTTACATCAAAGGGGTCCCTATATTAGGTGCGAGCCTAGTCAGGCATCATCAGTGACTAAAACCGTAGATTACTAATAAAAATGTTAAACTACAAACCTAGAAATAAAACACAGAATAAAACCAGACTTTCGCACACACAGACACTATTGTCTAGCACACATAAGGACTTACAGAATACACACCCATCTAAGCTCCTATACAAGTTTGGGCGTCATACTTTCAATTTCGGTGACCACTAACTCGTAGACGGTTCCACTTTCGCTATCACTGCAACAAGTGGGCTCAGTGACCTCACAGATCTAGGGCATTGAAGCTTTAAGTGAAAAGTGCACAATACCGTCGATAACAAACGTGTTACGTAATTGTTTTCGATGGTGATTATTAAGACGAGTGACGAGACTTTTGACCTTCATTTAAGTGAAGATGGAGTCTGTCTGGGAATCTGGACTACAGTGACGTACTGCATTTTTTTATGGTATAAGGGACAAACGAGCAGACGGGTCACCGGTTAGCAACTACCGCCGCCCATGAACACCTGCAACTCAAAAGTCACAAGTGCGTCGTTGCCCTTGGAGTCCCTCCCGCTGACTCGGAGCGGGAGGGACTCCAAGGGCAACAACGCACTTAGGGTATTTGGGCTCCGGTAACCTCACTCACTCAGTATAAGGCAACGAAAGAATTGCTTAACACCGGTTTTCTGTGAAGCCGTGGTATCACTCCGGTCGAGCATA